AGGTGTCAAAATTGTTTAGAACCTCCTGCCATCATCTTCAGCATACAAGAATGAACCCAGGGGATGATAATTTTGTGTTATAAAAAAAGGTAAGAACAGGACTGGGATTATGAGAAGAACAATGACAGGCATTAGTCCTACAAAGAAAGGAAGGAAGGCAAGGTGCATCCAAGAGGTTGAGGTGTATATATATATATATATGTGTGTGTGTATTGAACTACATGGTATCACTTCCGTGACCATAACAGAAATTAATATATCTCTAAATAAGATGAATTCATACAGTGACAAACCTATTTTAAATACTTCTCTTGAAGCAGAACCTGGAGGTTCAATGTTGGTAAAACCAAAAACTACCATTGGGCACTATCCTGAGTATACTGGACACAAATAATAAACATTACAAACTAAGCAATATTACATTAATTTCTACACGAAAATACTTTTAAAAGCTACTCAGAAGTATACCACCTGTGGGAACATTCCCACAGTGTCTGGCAGACAACCGTCACCCCTTTCAGAAAGTGCCAAACAGGCAGCTGTGACCAAAGAGACGCAGCATTTATACACACTCCACCTACTCCAGCTTATATACTAGGTGCATATATTTATAACTTCATCCGCAGCCCTGCCTTTCCGTACACGGCCAATGGATATGCACTGTGACAACTGCAACTTTAGCTCCGCCTCCTGGCTGGCAGTATTTAAGACTGGGAGCCAACAATACAATCAGTTCATCCTGAGACAGCAGTCCAGCCAGAGGCATCAACTCCTTACTGCAACCGGGCAACTGACATAGTTGCCGCAAGCCTCCAGACCAGGCAACCGAAGCAGCAGCAGCAGCAAGTCTCCAGCAACCAGGCAGTGAACTCAGCTTTCACAACTCCAACAACCGGCCAAGGCAGCGCTACTTCACAGTTCAGACAGGCCAACTGGATGGCCGTAAGACTCCGCCCACTACGGAGGAGTGAATTCTGTCGGCACACTTGCGGTGGAACGAACAGTGAGAATAGGCATATAGCAAGTGCATGTGGTGAACATTAATAACGACTCCACACACTTCTTATTTATTTATTGATTTATGGTTTATATAGCAACTCAGACTCTATACTGTCAAATGGTAGGATGATCGGTGAACAATGAATTGCACAGGCTGTGCAAGGGAGCATTTGTTACTTAATACTGCCCCAGAATCTGCCTGAAGGGACTTAGGAAAACCATGAAAAATATCAATCAATATACCTGATCTCCAGTCAGGAATTTAATACGGTACCTACCAAATAAAAAAAATCCTGTCCACTCAATTTCAATATTCAGTCACATTGTCTCAAATGCCCCTTGAGGAAGAATGTTCTAATGAGAAATGGTTGCACTGTGAGTACTGTTACCACTGTTCATTAACTCTTTGCTACATTACTTCAATATGCTATATCCTGACACTGTAAGGCCAATTTAAATGCCCTTAATATAAAATGTCCAAGTATCTTAAATATTATGTCACATTCAATTTTATTACATTTGGCACCACAAAGCGTTAAGAACAGTTATCACAGAAATGTTGTCTCAATAAATAAACAGAAGTCACAATGAGGGAAATTTCTTTAACTGTGTTCTTGAACCATATATTTAACAATTTACATGTAAACAATTCGTTTACATGACATGGCAAAGGCCAAATTAATTTGGACACGGTAACTTTAGTTCCAGTGCATTCTGAGCATAACTCCCATGGAAAAGCATCCAATTTAAATTAAATAATGGTGTGAATGACACATATTTGCCCACTGTCTAAAAAACTCACAACAAGGAATTATGCAGGATTTGAAGTTTCCATGGTAGTAAAAGTGAAGAGTATGGTCTTCTGCAGGGCATGTGTTAATGTATAGTTGGATGAGGCACTATGTTACAAGCAAGAAGGTCATGGGTTCAAATCCCGATGAGGTCACAGTATTTTTAATTAAACTAATCCTTCCAGCTACAAAACAGCACTGGGGTCGACTCAGCCTCTAAAACAAATGAGTATCAGGAATCTTTGTGGAGGGTAAATGGCAGCCAGCGTGTAAGGCTGACAATCACTGTGTCAATCACAACATATTGCTTGCTAAATTGGAGTTTTATGGCGTGAATAGCATAGCAGGGAAGCGGATTAAATCTTACTTGACTGATAGATATCAAAGAACTTTAATAAATAATAATTATAGAAAGGGTATTTCTGAATGGCAAAAGGTTAAACAGGGTGTTCCACAAGATTCAATACTTGGGCCTTTGTTTTTTCTGTTGTATATCAATGATCTGCCTTATGTAGTAAATAAATCATCCATACCAATTTTTTATGCACATGATACTAGTATACTGTGTTCAAATTCACAGAGATATTGGGTTTTCAGACTTTATCCATCGTCAGAATCCTATAGTAACTACTTGTGTTCAAATTCTAATTCCACAGAACTCGAAACTACCTTGAAAGCAATTCTGCTAAAATTAAATGAGTGGTTTTTACACAATTCACTAATGCTAAATTTAAGTAAAACCAATTGTGTCTACTTTGCAACAAAATTGAATCTGTTAAAAAACTTAAATATAATATATAGCAAAACTCTAATCCACAACAATGTAATGTCAAATTTCTTGGACTAATCATTGATTGTACAAGTACTTTGTCCTGGAAAGATCATATTAATCAATTAGTAATTAAGCTGAGTTTGGCTGTCTATGCCATCAGAACTTTATCTTCCGTTGTGTCCCAGGAGAGTCTACTGATGACCTATTATGCCTATGTACATTCCATTATGTCCTATGGAATTATATTTTGGGGCAATTCTGCCAACAATAATTTAATTTTTAAGATTAAAAAAAGAACAATTAGAATCATTATGAAATCTAGAAAAATGGACACTTGTCATCCATTATTTAAGTACCTAAATATTCTTCCATTTTACTCACAATATATATGTTCAATATCCATGTTTGTTGTTAAAAATATGGATACTTTCACACTAAATTCTGATATACATAGTATCCATACCAGACAAAGTACAGATTTACATCATTCAACTTATATATTAACTAAAGTCCAAAAAGGTGTCTACTGTTCTGGGATTATGATATTTAATAACTTACCACATAATCTTAAGAACTTGACAAATGATGTTGATAAGTTTAACATGCCTTAAAAAATTTCTCCATACTGGCTCCTTTTACTCATTGCGGGAATATCTAGACCGGAGAATAATGAAAAACCTTGATTCTTACAAATAATTTATAATCTGATTGCTGATCTAATACAGTTTTTTGTGTGGTTGATGTAATCTATTGTCTCGATTTTTATGCAGATTTTCATTTTGATAAGCATGATTTATATGTATTGTTTACCTGTAGAATTGCCTGTATATGTTTTTTGCTGATAGTATTGTGATATGACGAGTCCTGTATCAATGTATTTTGATTTATGGGAAAATGAAATACAGAAAGAAAGAAGGAAAGATAATTGGTCATAAGTGTGTACATCTATAATGCATTTAATTCAGTTAATTTAGGTAATTTAAATGAAATTGTATTAATTTAAATTCTTATAATATTGTTCTTTTTAAATTATGTGTATTAATTATAACTGTAATAAGTTTTTTATTCTATTATCTATGTTAACGGACTAATGTACGTGATTTTAATTATGTAACTCATTTAATTTATTATATGTATCTGGACACATCTATTATCAAAGGAGGTTTTTTACCTGTATGGATATATGGAAAATAAAGGAAATGAATGAATATGTGAGCCAATTGTCTAGAAAATGTGGGAGCCTCAACATCTCTCAACCCTATGGGCCTTCATGACCTGTCACAGGGATAGCTTTAACTTTTTTATTTCTATGGTCTTCTGCATTGTAATGCTGAGTAGTCTGGTGAGGGTCCAACATTTTGGAGGAACATACTGGCTCTACTTTCAGGGCATCAAAACCAAGAAGAAACTCTTCAAGAAAAACGTAGTTTTTATGTCAATTCACAAAGTCATTCAAGTAAAATCAGTCACTTTAAACAAAAAATAAAACAATTCTAAAGAGTTCTGACAATGGTACATAACACTCAGAATTACTGGGTGATTGAGGTTAGCTCTCTCTAAGGGACCCAACAGAGTAGGTGTCTCACCCCTCACCTAAGGACAGAAACAGATCCAGTTTCCAAAAAGTTGTTTTCTAGTTTCTTAGAATACTGGATGAAGGACAAAGTCTGAAAACCCAGTAATTCTGAAAAAATTAGATAAATGTAAATGGAAGATATTTTGTTTCAAACTATTTTTACTTCGTAACTTCCTTTCTTTCATTCTCATGGTTTACCCCATGCAACTGAATAGAGAAAACAACTAAGAATAGTAGCTTTAATATTTTAAGACTCATATGAGCAGTAAGCAGTAAAAAGTAAGTTTTACACTAGTTTTTCCAGTATTTTATATCAGTTTCACAATCATAAGTTAGTCATTAAATGATAACATCAGACAAGAAAATGATCCAAGACCCAAAATTAGTTTTTCTTTTTACCAACAACAAGAGCAAGCTGCAGTAATTAGGAGTGGGGGATATTATTTCAGGCACACTTAAAATCAAGTAAAATTGTAATTATTCATCCTGTTGTATTAATATATTTATTATTTGTATACATGTATTTCTGTCTCAACTTATTATCTTGTCCTACTTCTCCTTAACTACATGTTTCAGCCATACACAGCCATCATCAGGTGTTACCTATCTTGCCAAAAATGTTTCATTGTGTGCTAATGTTACATACTGCATGTGAATGAGATGCTGTTATTAATTTGTGGGAACATCCCACATACTATCACGCTGTTTCGCCGATCAACAGACAACACTCACTCCTAAGTCAATAGCACATTGCTGCACATTGCTGTCAGCTCTCATATTTATACAGCACCCGCTGTCCAGCTCACTTTTCACCATCATGCACACTAACCAATCACATTGCTTCCAATGCTTGCATTCATACAGCACTCGCTGTCTAGGCCACATTCAGATCATTACATGTGCTAGCCAATCAGCGCTCACAATCGCAACTGCAAGTTTCGCTCCTCCATCAAGCATGGTATAAAACGTGGAGCCCAAAGCTCGCAATCATCAGTGACCACATCAGCTAGTCAGCCATCACACTTAGTCCAGAGCGATTGGTCTTCGGAGTCATCAGCTCTTCACTGCACCAGTGACAGCTGCCTCGGCTCTCCGGTGGCCATGCCCAACACACCGGGCAACTGGCGCAGCTGCCGCCACTCCAGCGACCACACTCCGCGACCAGACATCTTCCAGCAACCACGCTCTGCGACTAGGCAACTTCCAGCAACTGCCGCACTGTGACCAGGCAACTTCCGGCAACTGCCGCACTACAACCAGGCAACTAACTCGGCTGCCGCAACATCAGCCAACACGCCGTAGCCAACATCTATTTCCACCAGTGCACACAGCCCTACTTCACCAGCCAGACAGACCACCCAAACGGCTGTAAAACTCTATCTACCGCAACGCCTGCAATACATGCATGCAACAACAGAAAAGGTATTGGAAGAAGTGTTTCTTTGTGGTTCACATATAGCCAATGCTGTACAATGGATGTATTTTCTATGGGTCTGCTCCGAGACTATATAAGTAGTGCAGAACAGAATGGGAACAAGAATGAGAATGGTGCGAGTCCTTGGCAGTCAAGGAAGAAGAGTTCAGCTGAAGATCGACTGTGAGTTATTGTAAATGATTGTGATTATGACTGATTGTAAAATAAGGTGTTAATAAATCCAATCATTCAATCCAAAACCCGTTATTGACAGTCATGCAAACCCCCTAATACATGACAATATTTTTGAATGAATAAGTGGCAACAACAACAAAAATTACATTATGATATTTTAACTTCCATGTACAGCCGAAACATGTGGTGATACAGGAGTAGGACAAGATAACAAGTTGCATCTGAGACGGAAGTACATGTATACAAATAATAAATTAAAATCTTCTATTTTCTTAAATTTGAAAAGGCCAATGTACATAGGAAAATGACAAAAGTAACTATGGTAATATTGCTCTTATTTCAAATGGACCTGAACCATATATAATTTGTCTTTATCATATCAGTGTGATCTTGCTTGTTTGCTGACTTTATCATAAACATCAGGAAAAGCTTTCTTGCACTCCAGCTGGTCTCGCATTTTGTCATAGAGCCTGTGGTCAAACATCTGACGGAATTCTTCCTTGGTTCTGTATGAGTCTGCATACAACATCTGAAAACTGAAATTGAAAGATTGAAATTATTTATAGAACTCAGTTTTCCTGTAATTCAATCCTACCAACCATCACCTGTCCAATTAGGATGGGCATACCTGATAAAAATATTGATTAGAATTTTAACTTCACAGACATAAGACACTTGAATAATCTTTATGTCAATGAACTTGGTCATTTCTACAAACATCAGTCTCAGCATGTGATATAACTATATAATTAATTGGAAATCAGAGTGTAATGAAGACAGAGGCTAACTAATTAACTTTCCTTGCAAACATGTTAGCATAAGCTCGAATAAGACTACAAATGCATCAACGTAATCACAGCCAGATCATGGAAGGACATGATTCAGGACACAACGTAATTTAACGAGATAATACAAGAAAACGTCAAAATACTTAGCTTCGTAGCCATCCTAAAAAGAAAAAAATTAAAAGAACTTAGGAACGAAACACGATCAAACATCAACATATTATAGATAACATAAGCAGGGACAGTTGTATCATATATACAGCAATTAGGATCAAGATAACAACAATAAGCTAAAATGCAGTCACATTGACAGTGGAAAGCCTGGCATGACCAACAGAAGAAACCTATACATAATTCCAATTTTATTTAAACTAAGGGGGAATGAACTGCTAAGAATATTTAGAATATAGTATTTCCATGGGCTCTATTTTATAACATTTTAACCTATTAATAAAAAAGTAAAGTATAGCTATCCCTGTATTAGGCCGTGGAGGCCCATAGGTTTGTGAGACGTTGAGGGTCCCACATTATCTAGACCAGTGATGGGTACAATTTTTTAGGAGGGGGCCAAATAAAAAAGAAAAAACTTTAGGCAGGCCAATATAATTTAATAAAAACGAGGAGGCTCCGTTGCCAGTTTTACTCTTCGCTACAAAAATGCCAGCAGCCAGTGCCTCACTCTCAAATGTTAACATAGCATTCCAATACCATAGTGGATAAGTAAATAAATTAATCTGTGGTCACTAGGCTAAACATAAAAGGAAGGAAAGAAAATAATCCAGAATTATTTATTTTCCTTAATTCTTCTTCTTTTCATTCGTCAGATTAGGAATCATTTCGCAGGCCGGACAGAACCTATCAGGGGGCCGCGTNCAAGTTTTAAATACTTGTTTAATACATTTTAAAGCAGCATAAAAACACAACCACTTAATGTGTACATATAAAGGTGGCTAATGAAAGGGAAAGAAGCAAACTATATTTCTTTGATTTATTCTGACACAAAATGATTAGCACAATACATGGATCCATATAAGAAGCAAAATTCAATAGTATAAGGTTTGTTTATGTATCGCCTGATGGTGGCTACATGAGCCGAAGCATGTTGCAACACTGTACGACCAATAAACTCAGTTATGAACAGTGAAAGGTGAGCGAGTTGCTTAGTTTAGTGTTTGACAGGAAAAATAAAACTCATATATAGTATTCATTTTCATTTAATTACTTTCTTCTCTCTCCTTTCTTTTGTATTATATGATTTAGGAAATAGTTTGTGATTATAAATCTCTATCTCAAAGCTCATATTCTTTATATAGCATCCTGCCTTTTAATTTTATGTCAAATACCATACATAGAATACTGTTATTTTTGTGACCAATGGTATGTTAATTTGGAAGGTGAAAAATATTGGAACAATAAAACTGACAGTGATGCAATGATGATACACACAGTATTTTATTCATATGTGGAAATCAGGGGCATATACTAGTTATAACACATGATCAATCCCTTGTGAAGTGTTGTGTTGCAAACAAGATGGTGGCAAGCCTCTGAATTCCAGACACACTGAATACAAAGCAAGGGATTACAACTTTTTCTTGAACCACACAATAGCTCTGTCAAGAACCAATGAACAGATCATGCTGATATCTTATATTTTGGGCTTGTTGCAATTTTTGCCAAAATTGGGAGAAAATAAGGGATATTTTACATCAAGACCTACGCTCATTTCTCCACTCATCTCAAATGCAACTCTTTAAATATTTATCAGAGCATAAAACGTTTTGAAAAAACACTGTAGAGAAAAATTAAACCTGCATTTTATGACAAACATAATTGTTTCCATTAGTTTTACATCTGTCTAGCTAATTAAACAAAGACACAAATGTCCCAGAATTGTTACTCAATGTGTAACTTTTAAAATGTCTACTGGACAAACAACATTTTGGTCTTCTGAACACCTGAAAATTACTAAACCTCTTATTCTTGACAAATCGGAAATGAAACTTCTTCTGTCTGAATTCATTAGTGTACATGTATGTACATATTCATATAATTTACACATAATTATCATTTTGTTACAAGCATCACTTTGTTTTAATTTAAATCTTACATATCTACTTTACTTTCTTTTTGACACATTCACATTGCAAAGTTGCAAAAGTGCACCCACCTCCTTCTCCATGATTCATCAGTTTGTCTGTCCACTGGCATTTAAAATCTAATGGATAAACATGTTTTCATTTATGTAAGATTTGAGGCTTTCATGGCGGTGACTATGAAGAAAGCAGTCTTCTGGGATTTGGCACCGTGTATATCACGGTGCCAAATCCCAAAAGACTGCTTTCTTCATGTTTTCATTTAATTTTATTTTGAGATGTTTTACTGCAGTTTGTTGGTACATTAAGATTTAGGTTGAAACTGAGTGCAAATAGTAGATGTTTTATGCATAAACCTCTATGTTCTTTTGGAGGCACCTCAAGTGTTACTTGTTAAAATTTTACCAAAATGAAAAAGGTTTAGAACAAAAGTTGTAAAGAAAAACAGAACATGGATTGTATGCCCAATACACATTTTCTACAAATTTTATGGTTTTAGAGATCACTAACAAAAGGAACAAACATTCCAGAATTGTCTTCTAACCGATTCATGTTTATCATTTTGCAAAGATCATTCAGGTAATTATAAACATTATCAGTTTAGACAGTTAAAATGTGTGCATGTCCAAAAACAGAGTTAATCCAGTTGTGCACTATCTGTCCAGTCAACCACTGTATCTTACTGTAATTTGAGTCAGAAAAAATTCTTGTATACTCATGGTCTCTTTCCTACAAGTAGCAGCAGGTTGATAAGGACTTGGAATAGATATACAGTTCTTTAAAACTTGCCACTTTTCCAAAAAAAAATAAGTTCCACTTCCAAATGGTATTTTTTCAGTTCTGGTTTGACACATAGCACATCTAAACAATTCACTTATTTGTCATGACAACACATATCAAAACATAACCTGAAACATAAATAACACACAAGCACAGCACTATTATCCAATCTCTCTCTCCTTCTCCTCCTCCTTCTTCTTCTTCTCCTTCTCCTCCTCCTCCTCCTTCTTCTTCTTCTTCTTCTTCTCACTGGCCACTCAGCTTCAGTTCATTTCAGTGACTCTAAGACTGGGTCTTTTTTTAATAAAAAGATGGTAATAAACATGTCAGAAACCCATATTCTGACCAGAAACAAGCATGTACAGTGCTTTGTTATGTCCAGAGTGAGGAGATGGACTTTTCTGATCCATGCAAAATGAAACTATGTAACACTAATTTCAGCAAAAGAAAAGCATGCATTTGTGAACACTGCTTTTGAAACTAAGTCAGTGAGAATAACAGAGGAATAATTAAAGCAGAATAAAATACTTAAGCCATCTCTGATTATTTAGATCCTTTTGAATATACATCAATGGCAGAGATAAAAACTGTGTTACTCACCCACCAACTTTGGCAACAAGATCTTCAAGATTTCTTGTTGTGTTGACTGCATGATATTTTGTACCCTCTGGTACTTTTGGTACTCCATACACTCCTATATCAACATAAAGTTCTTCTCTCTCTCCAACTGGATGGACCATTCCAGGATCATTCGGCAAGTTAAAAGGACACAACCATACAGGATACACCTTAACATAAATAAATTGTATATATTATGCTCTACTCCAACTTGTCATATTCACTTAACTTTAAATCAAATGACATAATAAAAAGAGATTCTAGTAATTCACTACTGAATCGGGTTCGCTGTTCGTTATTTAGCCTCAGCACAGACAACACAGAAGACAGTTATGTGATAGGTACCACTGTTGCCTGACGCCGTGTTTACAGGTGTTGCTAGTAATGCTGTCGGGAGTTGTTTATGGCTGGGTAGTAACCACTGTATTCCTTGTTACGTCGCCGCAGCAGTGGTTGCCTGGCGCAGCTGCTCCAGTGCCATATCACGGCTGGGGGTTACCAAGCGTTACGTATTGGTGGAAGGAGTGGGGGTATCTGACGTCACTCGAGGAAACGCAGAATTCACATGACCCCCACTTCCCATTGCACTATCCACGTCACAATATTTACAGGAAAAACTATAGCATTTATTTACCTAAATTTCTGTTAAATTTATATTAATTAGTTACTATATTTTCCCTGTTAATGCACTCAAGCAAAATAATTTCATAAAATTCTTGATATGAATCAGTTATGAAGGTTATAAACTCATTGCTTCCCAAAAATTAATCCTCCTGGTGAAATTAAGATTATTCACTCACTCACATATACTGTCCTATTGTCATAATTGCCCAGCCAAGACCACTTGCTCATCAAGGATGGCACCTTGGTGGAATATAAAGCTGAGTGGGCTAAGAGCCAAAACAAGAAGGCTATTCAGTATAGCAAAAAGGACAGGGCAATGGGATACCTATAAGGAAACGCTTACCTGTTATAACAAAGAAATAAGAAAAGCCAAACAATCCTCAAGGAGGTACTGCCTGGAGATCAATGATATATCAGACAGTTCCAAACTTATAAGGATCATGGCAAAACAGGCGACCAATAAGGTTGGCACTATTAAGCCACCTAACGGTCAGTTTACTCAAACAAGAAAAGATACACTGAAAGAGTTGTTCAGGGTATATATATATTACCGGGTCATGCTTCCAAAAAGAAGTTTATTCCCACAGTATTAAGATGTGATAAGAAAACAGTCCACATTAATACAGCAGCTGAGTCTTTTAACACATTCTTCATAGACTCAGTAGTTCAGATAATTAGTCAGCTTCCTAACAATGAAGCTGCACATCCCACAATTAGATGTAGCCTTTTTGGCAGCTATCCAGATGTAGTTAATGTTCCCATTACTTCAGCGGAAGTCTTAAGCCCAATTTTTTCATTAAAGAACAAGACCTCTAGTGAATGCGATGGGTTGTCTAATAAAATTATCAAGTTACGTGGGGTGTAGATAGTTAAGCCCCTTACTCACATCTACAATCTTTCCTTAACAACAGGTATATACTCAGACAGACTAAAATACGCTAACATTGTACCATGCTTTAAAAAAGGTGATACATCTGAAATATCTAATTATAGGCCTATTTCTTTATTGACAGGTTTTTCTAAATTATTTGAAATATTAGTCTTTAATAGGCTAAAACTACATTTGACAAACAATAATATTATTGTGGATGGGCAATTTGGATTCAGAAATGGTAATCTACACAAAATGCTATCTTCAAANCTCTTTCTAGATGGGCAACCTGCAGACATGGTGTTCCCCAGGGTTCTGTCTTGGGACCATTACTATTTAATGTTTACATTAACGACCTACCAAGTACACTAGATGGTTTGGCTCATAACATTCTTTACGTGGATGATACCTCCATTATTGTTTCCTCAAAAGACATCTCAACATTGAATCATAAAATAAATCAAATAATGAATCATATCTCTGAATGGTTTCAAAATAATCAATTAGTCCTTAATCTAAAGAAGACGCATGTAATTAAATTTACTACGCCTATGACCATGGACTATCCATTACATGTGGAATATAACGATCAAGTTCTTAATATTGATGAAAGTGTTAATTTCTTGGGTGTGTGCCTTGATAATCATCTCAAGTGGAAACAATATTCTGATAATTTAACAAAAAAATTAAGTACTGCAATTTTCATGCTTAGAAAATTGCAGCCTACGGTGAGTGGACAAGTTTTACGTATGGTTTACTTTTCTCATGTGCAGGCTCAACTTAATTACGGTATCATTTTTTGGGGCTCTTCTTCATTAATGAAAAGTATATTTACTGTACAAAAAAGAGCATTAAGAGTCTTGTTAAGATTAGGGCCAAGGAGTTCATGTAGGGAAGGCTTTAAGACAA